TTAAAGAGACCACAAATATGAGTTTTCAGGATTTAAGCGGAGCAGTGGAGGAGAGAGGGTCTTGGAGATGTCTCATCCATAGGGCCGCCATGAGTCGAGATTGTCTCGAGGGCAGTTAACGCCAAAAACAAAAGCATATATATTTAACCTCACCCTAGTTGGTGCTTCTGCATGACCTGATCCCAAACTTCTGTTTTTGTTGAGTTGATTTTGGTGCCACAGTAGAGCTATTTTGCACTCTCACAGAGTTCAGTTTCTTGTATGCATCTAGTGGCAATAATGCCAATTAAATCCATTTCCATTCCAGGTTGTTGCTGTTCACACAACATGTTTGTGGGAAAGCCAAAAAGGCAGAGTTAAATACTTTTGCAAGGTACTGTAAGCCCTGCTTATCTCAGTGGGGCTGATCTCCCAGAAGACAAATACATCAGATTCACAAGTAGTCATGTATAGCAAGGACAGGACATTTTTAGGACCCAACGAGTGTTTTGAACTATGGTTTTGTCTAGGAACGAGGGAAAACCTGACAGGTATTGTGTCAGCGTGAGAGTTAGTGTGCTGTTGCGGTTCGAGTGTTAGACTAGGACTCTGGAGACCAGGGTTCGAATCCCCGCTCAGCCATAGAAACCCACTGGGTGACCATGATTGAGTCACACTCTCTCAACCTCAGAGGATGGCAATGGCAACCCCCCTCTGAAGAAACCTGCCAAGAAAACCCCATGATAGATTCACTTTCAGGTTGCTATAAGTCGAAAGTGACTTGGAGGCATGCAACACCAACTGTGTCGGTGAAGTAGATCCTTTGCAGTGGGTCGCATCCTGAAGTGTGGGCACTAGCTCTCTTCCACGTCTAGGGCCTGCCTCCTCTTTTCTGCCCTGCCTGACCTGTGGGAGCCAGCAGTCTCCAGGAAAAGTGTGAATCATTTTCAGGAAAGAGTTACACTAAGCACCAGAGCTTTTAGCACATTATCTGCTGGCAAAGGGGCTATAATCTAATTGCCAACCTGAGGGTCTTAATCGAGCTTTTCTCTCTTCCCACCCCTTGGATTTTAAAGGTGGATTGTTTTCAGATGTGTACATCTTATTTGTCCTTTTAAATTGATGGGTGTTTTGACTGATGTGTTTTAACTGGTGTTGTGTGTCTGCTAATTGTTATTGTTCCCCACCTCAATCCATGGGGAGAGGTGGGCAAGAAAATAATAATAATAATAATAATAATAATAATAATAATAATAATAATAATAATAATAATTTGCATCTGGGAGGGGATGCCTAAGTGGAGTAAGAGTTTTCAGATCCTGACTTGAGTCTGTTTCAGACACATTGCTTGGAAGGGGAGGAGTACAACTCCCAGAATCCCCCAGCCAGCTGGCTGGGGGATTCTGGGAGTTGTACTCCTCCCCATCCAAGCAATGTGTCAGAGCTCTGGATTCAGCTTTCCAAGAAGGCCATCAGCAAAGGCAAGGAGGAAATTCTTCTGCCCACAACCCCTTGAACCAAATCCAGGAGGGACGGAGGAGACCTATTGCATGGTTCCCATTCCTTGAGGAAATGGAGTTGGAGTATGGTACATTAATCTCCCAGTGGATTGCACCCATATCGAACTTGTTATATTATTATTATTATTATTATTATTATTATTATTATTATTTGCTTGTATCCCGCCTTTCCCTCCCAATATAGGGACTCAAGATGGCATACAACACATTTAAAACAATATAATTTAAAGCAATACAAAAGAATGACAAATGCATACATATAAAAAAATTAAAAATTACACAATTTTAAAAAGTTAAAAACATTACACATGAAAATTTAAAATATATTAATCACTCTATACAAAACTGTATACAAGCCTTACACAGCATTTAAAGTCCGACCCTTGTCATTTTGAGAAAAGCTGGAGGCATAAGAATGTTTTTATCAGCAGCCACCAAAAGGAGAGCAGGGATGGTACCAACCTGGCCTCTCTTGGGAGGGAGTTTAAAAGCCTGGGAGCAGCCACTGAGAAGGCCCTCTCTCTTATTCCCACCAAAGGTGCCTGAGAGAGTGGTGGGATAGAAAGAAGGGCCTCTCCCAATGATCTCAACACAGTGGGTTCATAAAGGGAGATATAGTCCTTCAAATAGCTTGGACCCAAGTTCCTGTCAGATATACTTGCTGATGACTTTCCAATACCCTGACTTACATCTGAGTCCCTGGGCTCAGCTCCTATTAGGCATCTGAAACTGATCTTGTTGCTGTTGTTGTGATCCTTCAAGTCGTTTCTGACTTATGGTGGCCCTACCCCATGGGGTTTTCTGAGACTGAGAAAGTGTGACTTGCCCAAGGTCACACAGTGGGTTTCCATGACCAAGTGTGGATTTGAACCCTGATCTCGAGAGTCATAGTCCAGTGCTCAAACCACTACAACACCTGGCTTTCTAGCTGATCTACAGAATAACAAATATGTAATATACATTATCCTTTTGGATTTCTGTAGCTATTACTGCAGGCTGCATCTACAGTATAGAAGTAATGCGGTTTGACACTACTTTAACTGCCATGGAATTCTTGGATTTGTAGTTTTGTGAGCTATTTTGCCTTGTGGTGCCACAATAAACTACAAATCCAAGGATTGCATAGGATGGAGCCATGGTAGTTAAAACAGTATCAAACTGCATTCATTCTGAACTGGATCAACAGCCACAATCTGATTATAAAGGTCCTTCCTGGGCACCAGTTCATTCCTTGCATCTGAGAAAGTAGACCAAGTCTACCAACCTTTATGCTACAATGTCTGTCACTCAAATAGTCTCAGGGGATGGCAATGGCAAGAAAGAAGAAATTTGCCAACAAAACCTTGTGATAGGGTCACCGTAAGTCAAAAATGACTTGGAGACAGAGAGCAACAAACAAGAAGTCCCAAAGGTTCTACAAGATTTCTTTTTCTACCAGGAATACCTTCTTTGACTTCTGTGCATGCTCACTCCCATTTGAATGCTTCCTTTTATAGGGAACCTGGCCCAGTGGGTGTTATTTTTTAGAAAGGAAAGGGGGGGGGGAAAGAGAAAATTATTTGATCACTGCATGCTCAGTTCAGAAGCATCCTCTCTCTGTTTTCTCAATGATGGTTTCATTTTCCTCTCTTCATTCACCACCTGGAGAAGGGAGCCCTAATGCTTCAGAAATGGAAAGTGAAGGGATCTCAGCCCTAAACTGCAGCAGATGTCCTGTATTGTCTTTCGTTTACACACGAGTTTTCAAGAAAGCAAACCAAAAATGGGAAATCATGTGGCTTTCCCAATGTTGCTTGACTACAACTCCCAGCACTCCTCATCATTGATCGGGATGGCTAAGACTACTGGGACTTGCAACCCAACACCAATCTGGTAGTCCAAATGATTCCCAGCCCAGTAAAATCTGTAAGCTTGGCAAAGTAATTTGTTCAGGACCCCAACTCCTGGGATTCTATGGAAAGCTCCCTGCTATGCTGCCTGAGGGACTCTGGGAGCTGTGGTCCAAACAGCTCTGGATCACTAGGTTCTATTTGTGTGCAATATGTGTCTAATATAAGTCTGTTGGCTGCTAATGGCACTACCTTTCTGCAATGGTGGGACTGTATGCTCCTGTGTGGCAAGAGGCTATGCTGATGCCAACAGTGCTACTAGTAGGGCTTTTGCTGAGGAGCCAAGCTAAATGTGCCAAACAGCTGCTGAACATCTGTAGTAGTGGGGGAGTGGGTTTGACACTGGTGGGGGTTCTCTCAGAAACAATGGCAGTGGCACCATAGCTAACACTTGTTAGTATTGTGCAGCAGAAGGTACAGCAGACCTCCTTTTACCACAAAGACCCTATGATGAGACAACACAAAATGAAACAAGAAAAAGTGCCAGAAGATGAAACTATCAGGTCAGATGGTGCTCAACAATCTACTGGGATACAGCAGAGGACAACTGCAAGTAGCACTGTGGCCTGTGACACAGCTGGACTCAAGCCAAAAGGATGTTCAGCTGTTGACAAGCTCAGAGGTGAAAGGAAAGGCCAAAGCTGCACAACATATATTACAGCAGGGGTAGGCAACCTTTCCCCTTTAAGGGCCGAGGGACTTCAGCTCCCAGAAGCCTCAGCCATGTTGGCCAATAGTCCCATGTTGGCCAATAGCTCCTGAGATTCTGGGAGCTGAAGTCCCTCGGCCCTTAAAGGGGAAAGGTTGCCTACCCCTGTATTACAGGAACACAGAATGTGAGAAGCATGAATCAGGGAAAACTAGACACAGTAAAACAAAACAAAAAAATGGAATATGAAACATTGCAAAACTTGGGGTGAGCAAGCTAAAGTGGACAGGAATGTGACATTTTAGATAATTACACAGGAAGTGAAACTATAAGAAGAAATAGGGTGGCATTAATAAGGAGGAGAAATGTAACCAAAGCAGGCAAAGGATATAATTAAAGTCGTACGAAATCATATCCATAAGAGTTCAAGGAAAATCCATCAAGACAACCATAATCCAAGTTTATGCTCCAACTTCAGAGGCAGAAGAAGTAATTGAAAAATTCTGTTCTGGAGACCAGAAGGAAATTGATCACACACCAAAACAAGGCTTCTTGTTGATGGCAGGCAATTGGAATGCAAAAGTAGGAAACAGAGCAGAATCAAAGATTGTGGGGAAATTTGGACTAGGACCAAGTTATGAAGCAGAAGAGCAACTGTACAAGAACAGATTTGCACTATTATGGCTAAGGAGCCAGAAGAACTCTAGACTGAAGCTATGGACATTATTGTTGTTGTTGTTGTTGTTGTTGTTAACTGCCCTTGAGTTGGCCCAAACTCATGGCAGCCCTGTGGATGAGACATCTCCAGCACCCCTAGTCCTCCACTGCTCTACTGAGATTCTGCAGATTCAGGTCCATGTTCTCCCTAATTGAGTCCAGCCCTCTGGCATGCAGTTTCCCTCTTTTTCTACTACCTTCTACCTTTCTTAGCATTATTGTCTTTTCTAATAGGCCATGCCTTCTCATGATGACATTGTCAGAGAGGAATGCACAAAGACACTGTCTGTAGCCAGAAAGAAAGAAAAGCTTCAATGAATGACAGAGGAAACTCTCCAAGCATTTAAGGATACACAAGAAGCAAAAGCTGACAGAAATAGAGTCAGAACCCTGAATGCAAAAGTCCAGCAACCTATGTGCAGGGACAAAGAGAACTACTATAATAATCAATGTACAGAAATAGAAGATGACAATTGAAAAGGAAGAACAAGAGACCTCCTCCACAAAATCCAAGAAATCAAAGGGAAATTTAAGAGTGGAGATGCTCTACCACCAGCAGGGGAACACATTATATTACCCAGTAGAAATTTTAAAATGATTGAAACAATACACTAAAGAACAATATAAAAGAGATGAAAGGATGAGAGATTCATTCAAATAACCATTTAAAGATGAAGTTACAATTTAGAAAGTGAAGTGGAAGCTGCACTGAAAACATTTAAGAGAAATAAATCATCAGGAACTGATGGCATACCAATAGAAGTACTTCATTCTACAGAGGCAGACTCTATTAAAATCTGTCAACAAATATGGAAAACAATAGAAAGGCCACAGATTGGGAATGCTCAGTATATATTCCAGTCCCCA